GCAGAGGTGTGGGGACCATGGGGTGCAGGCCAAGCTTCCCCTTGCAGCATTCTGGATGTTCCTGCAAGTGTTTCCCAGGCCTCCAGCCATCTCCCAGTGCTCTCTCCTTCAGGGACTGACCCTGCACCCACTTTTCCCTGGGCGTGGGGTGCCCCAGGATCAGCAGGATGGGTTTGCAGCTGCTCCCTGCTCCAAAGGGCTTTTCCTCCCCACCCCAAGCTTTTCATCCTGCTGCTGTGCAGGGTGAGGGCAGGGCTGATCCCTCTCCAGCTGCCACAGGGGAAACTGAGGCAGGAAAGGGCTTCCCACAGCCACCCACGGAGCTCCCTTGGCTTCCCCCACCGGCCTCCCTGGGGTTTGGCTTGTGGGGATCTGTCCTTTGGGATCGACCCAGGGACACCCCAGGGCAGCAAGTTCTGCCCATGGGTCTCTCCACCCCCCACAGGAGGAGGGAGATGCACGTCTCCTTTTCCATGCATATTTCAGTGCGAGCCTTTCTGAATATTTCCGGAGGAGGAGGGTGTGGAGTTTTCACAGGCAAATCAGGAAAACCCAGGTGAGGCTGTGGAAGGACGCAGCCCGTGCCGGGAGGCTGTTGGTCCAGGATCAGGAAGGCTGCTGCAGTTTCTCCTGGCTGGAGTTCTCCCAGGCAGAGTTTGGCCCGAAAATGAGGATTTCCCACGCCCAACAGCAGCGGAGAAAGTTCCTCCTCCTCCTCCAGAAATTACGGATTGCCCCGAACCCCATCCCTGCCGGTGCTGAGAATCTCTTCACACTCAGGCCACGGGAGGCCCAGAGAATAAAACTGCTGCAGGTGCAGCCACATCTGGGCAGCTGTTGTTTGCCAGAGGGAACTGGCACCCCCGGACTGCCACATCCCACCTCACCACTCGCAAACAAAACACTCACAAGCCCTGAGAAACCACGGCGGCTTCATCAGATAGCCCTGCGACACCCACCCGTGGTTTGGGTGGCTCGGGGTGTGTTTTTTCCCTTCTCCCAAGCTGCTCGAGAAGGGTTTGTGTCGTCGACCGTCCAGGCAGCCGCCCACACACGTGGCCCTGGCACAATCGTCCCCGGGGGTGGGAGGCAGGTGACCTTTCAGGTCCCCAGCAGCCACACTCTGTTTACGACTCTGTGACCTTACCAGCCCCAGATCTACATCTCCAGCGAATCCCAAGGGCCTGGGGAGGAAAGCCACCGTGGTCTGGTAAGTTTGTGCCTCGGGCTTTGTGTGTGAGAATCCTTTGTGATCCAGGATGAGGTGACAATGATGGTCATCATCATCATCATCACCGGTGATCCACCTCTCTCTTTGTGGAGCAGAGGCACCACCAGTGAGTCCTAAAAGCCTGAAATCCCCAGCAGAGCTTTCCTCAGACACTGAAAAACAGGGTGATGAGCACCTCGTGATGACCCTCAGCCTCCAAGGCTCGGCTCTCCCATCTCAAGCTCACCAGCAAGGTTTAGAGCATCCCATCTGCCTCACCACGAGGCACAAACCCCAGGCCAAAGCTCCCCTCCTGTAAGTGCATTTCTGCCGTCATTAACTAGGTGAAAAACCCTGAGGAGTTCCCAGTGGTCTCTGGAGGGCTCACGGCACATGAGTCAGGGCCCGGTCACAAGACTGAGAGCAGTGAGAAGTCAGCCATCAGCTGACAGCACCCCGAGGGACACAGTCCCAGCTCCATGGGGGACCAGCAGGGTGTTGGGACAGGAAAGGGCTGCTCTCAGCATCCCACAGCCCCGGGACTGGGGTGGGAGCAGAGGGAGCTGGGGGCTCTCAGTTCCTTGCTGAGGGGAGGCTGCAAAAACGTGGGTGGGTGTCACGGGGATTGTCACAACCCCTGCACAGGCTGTGGGGGAGAGCTGAGGTGAGGAGGGCACAGGGGCGATGAGTGGTGTGGGGCACTTGAGATTGGCACTGACGAGGGAATGGCAGCATCTCATAGAACTCTGGAATGGTTTGGGTGGGAAGGGAGATTAAAATTCATCCCGTTCCACCCCCTGCCATGGGCAGGGACACCTTCCACCAGCCCAGGTTGCTCCAAGTCTCATCCAACCTGGCCTTGGACACTTCCAGGGATCCAGGGGCAGACACAGCTTCTCTGGGCAACCTGTGCCAGGGCCTCCCCACCCTCACAGCCAAGAATTCCCTCCCAATATCCCATCTAACCCTGCCCTCTGGCAGTTTGAAGCCATTCCCTGTGTCCCCTTCCTCCATCCTTTGTCCCAGGTCCCTCTCCAGCTCTTGGAGCCCCTTTAGGCCCTGGAAGTGGCTCTAAGGCCTCCCTGGATCCTTCCCTTCTCCAGGTGAACCCCCCCAGCTCTCCCAGCCTGGTTACAGGGCAGAGGGGCTCCAGCCCTTGGAGCATCTCCGTGGCCTCCTCTGGACCCGCTCCAGCCATTCCATGTCCTTCTGATGTTGGACCCCAGAGCTGGAGGCAGCACTGCAGGTGGGGTCCCACCTGAGTGGAGCAGAAGAGGAGATCCACGTGCGTGAAGCCCCGTGGAACCACAGATGGCAGCGATGACAGTTACTGGCACAGCCG